AATTTCGTTCATGTTCATTTCAACAAGAAGCTATCAAATCATTATATTTTGCTTATGTATATGCTTATGTAGACTGAGTTTTGCCAGCGTAATTTGATCCACTGTTGAAGAAGCTACTGTGATATCGTGATATATTTCTCAAATAAAGTTTGTGGAGATCGAATCGTAAAATGCAGTTTATGAAATTACTATGGATCTTCATCAAGAAATGGCCGAATCAATCAGAAAATCAAAACCTACAGAATTTCCATACGCTTTTCATCGATGGATGTAGTATTTCGGTAGAAAGGTTCAAGTTTTTAATTTATCATTCATTTTTTTCATGAATTAGTTGAAATATACCGATATTCTCCATAAGAAGTTGAGGCAGTGGTGGTGTTCTGTGAGCTTTTGTGGAGAACGCTATTTAATTCTTCCAAGACAGAACAGAACAATTCATTGGATACTGTCCTTTTGTTATAGGTATATGAAAAGTCAGCGAGGACACATGTCTTCCTTTCAAGAAAAGGTTCTATTCGAATGAAGATTATTATAATCAGTTGGAAAACCCGGTTTTGTTCGAAAAGTTGATATGAAATTATGTACGTTGTTGATAAAAAAATCAAATTCAAATTGTAGGATACCGACGAATCATGCCCTATATATCTCTAGCAATTGGTAGTACTCTTAACAAAAATAAGGCTGAAGTGAAATCATTAGGCATATGTGCAACGTCTTCCATTTGGAAGATTCGTCGCAAGTAACTGCGCGGAATTAGCTGGGTTGGTTGTTGTTTTCCGTCGGGTATCTGCCTACAAAGTCGTAGGTTCACATGAGAGGCAAGGGTGAGGTGGTTTCACCTATACTTGAACATAAACATACATTTCACAACAAAATATAATAATGTGTCTTCTAAGACAGTGCTCAAGAGTATTTCTAACTCACCCTGAGAAATTGAACTATTTCACTAATACATATATTATGCATTGGCTGTTGTTCAGAAATAAGACGATCGAATTCAAGCGTGAATGAATGAAGGCTTTATTTTGGTGATTTCGTTCGTAAAAGCTGTAAATCGACGAAGTTTTCAGATCACGATTTCCTCTTGTTCTGTTTGCTGAAGTTTATGATGAGGAAATAGATGGAAATAAGTTACATTTTTCCCTCGTTTTAAAATGAATGCGCCAAAACATTTTCAGTATCAAATTTACTATCGAAGAATGAATAAGTACGGAAACTCAGATGGGTTATATATTTTCATTTTTTTGTTTTTACGATAACTTTGACATCGAAAGACAAAATTTTGTCATTGACTCTCAAAATATCATTTTGGCTATATGAGTGAAAATATCGACTTTCAATTTTGATTCACAAAATGAAAATTACAGAATCCATAAGTTCTTGGATGGCTCATTGTTGTCCAACCATTGTCCTGAATATCTCCTGTTATCATAGAGGATCCACTTTTCATTACACGTGACGATCCGATTTAATGAAGGATCGTTTTGATTTCGCGAAAGCAAAAAAGAACAGACTTGGCAAGTTGACTTGGGTGTCACACCAATAGGTGGTTCCACTTATGTTTCGCTTGCGTTTACGCAGCTATTTTTATCAAGTACTTTCTTGGTTTTTTCTCATTTTGTCTTCAATCGAGGACCGCCTGCCCGGTACTGACGATGCCCAATAGGCTGAAACAGCTGTATACCGGTGGCTCTTAAAACTGAGGTACACCGTAAGTGACAGTCCTTAGATGGCTTTTTATTTCTTCAATTTCAATTGAATGTTGTGGGATGTTCTGGAACATCCCACAACATTCGATGATATTCTGAAATGTTTTCCAATGAGCTGGTATGTTCTTAAACAGATGGAAAAAAGACCTTCAAGCATTAGAACCTGACGCTAGTACAAGAGAGAAAAATAAACTGAACTGGAGAACATGGGTTCATTCAACTTCTGAACTGAGGCACACGGGTGTACCGAACATTATATGAAAAACGAGTTATATATTCATTTTGTCAAAATAATTGATACCTTTTCTTCCTACCGTGTTAATATTATCGAAGTTTTGATGAATTCATACTGATTATATTATTTATATGGAACAGGAAACAGTTTTCTAACTCCTAAAATTGTTCAAGTAAATCATGAAGAAAAAAATCTTGGTTTATACTTGGGAAAACATTTACAAACGAATCCCTACAAATATTAGAATAAGTTTTATTTTTAATCAGTTTTTCTCTTTCGAATATTTGTAGTGTTTCAATATTATAGTTAGTAACTTCATGCAAATGGAATAATTCAGTGCAAATTCTGCACGAAAATGACTGGCAAAAATGATATAGTACTTGAGCAAATGTGAAAATGCTCCCAAAAACAACTTCTCCAAATAGAAGAATTTCATTAAGGAATACCCTGTATACTACAGTCAAAATGGTTTTGATATTTTATCTCTACATTAGCTTTCAGTCTTCATTTAAAGGGATCTGATTTAATCTGATTAAAAATCTAGATCATTCACGAAATTAAAAAACCTATTTTGTTGAAATATGTTTTTGATTATTGCCTGGAACTATTTGGACCACTTTTCATGAGATTCTACATTGTGATTGGGTTCACTGATTGAGTTCCATTGTCATCGACTATTTGAATTTAAATTGGTTTTAAACCGCATCGGTTGATTAGTCTTCGAGAGTGAAAACGGGCATCATAAGTTTAGTACAGGAGGTGTGCTTTTGTCTGCTGAAAACCAGTTTCAACTATTCCAAAAGTCACTCATTACGTTACACATGCGTTACATTCATATGAGTATTATTCATTTTCCATAGTTCCTTACAATTTTTCATTGAAATAGTGAAGATTTTTGTCATGAAATCAGGCCTTCAACATCAAAACTAATAACATATACAAAAATTCATTGTATACAACAGACGGTGCTTTCACTGGTAATTTTCATGATTTTGTATTCATTCACAAAATCTGAACCAAAATGATATTACAGTAAACTTTAACGCAGAGAAAATTTTTCTAGGAAACGTTAGTTAATGGAAAAAAGCTGTCTGGGTTAAACACGTCCATACAAAGAATGTGAGAAACTTCAGAAAAAAATAAAGATAGTGATTAGCGCCAAATAAGTAAATGAACATGTGTGAATTGAACCTCTGTTGTATAGTTTACTATAAAATTTTCACAACAATGAACTGCATTAGTGAGGGAAAGGTAGAACTAGAACATCTGTCGAGGAATGAATACTATACAAGACTGTTCCTGAATATTACTGGAGTTTTTCCCCCAACACCAAACCGTAATTTTAACACTTCGACACGTGTTTCGATAACCAAGTGATCATCTTCAAGAGAAAGATCTTCCACTTGGTGATCGAAACACGTGTCGAGGTGTTAAAATAACGTTTTGATGTTGGGGAAAAAACCCCAGTGATATTTATTACTACACCAAAGTTTCCAAACATTACACACACATCACAAAGACTGCTTCTGATCAATTATCCCAATCAGTCGTCTCCTGAAAATGTCAATTTAGATGGAAAAACAAGCTACAGGAAAAGTGTTTCAGTTCTGGTGTTTGGAAGTACTGCTGATTTTAAACAGATGGTGTAACTACAAAGCGGATTAGCGCCTCCTCCAGAGTCTTGCACCAAATTCTTAACCAGCCGAAGCGGAAGATGAAACAATCTGCTACTTAGAAGGACAGCAGTAGCTCGAATGATTATCTACCCAATAACGAGGTGAAGTAGCCCTATGTGGCTGGATCTAATATACCGTGAGATATTGTTGCCTTCATATGTGAAGGTATCAAGGTAGGCATCTTGAATATTCGTTAACCTCAATATCGACTATTCAACTGGAATATCTTCAGCATGACATTTGGGTCTGGATGGCTACAGTCCCTAGGTGATAAGTGCAGTTTATACCCTGCAGCCATGTGGGGGTGTTTCACTGATATGAATAATAGGAGACCTACGTCACCTAACTGACGAAGGTCTCCTATTACTCATAAATATACAATGGGAAATATACAATGGTCTGTTAACTTTGAAGGAGGGATTTTTTCACAAGGAAATTCAGGGGCTGGTAGCAGAGCACGAAATCTGTGCCTTCCTCACCGCGTATCAGATGAGATTTTCCGCGTTTGGCAGAGTCACTCACACGGATATGTGTGAGTGATGTTCATATAGTTTTATATTTGATAACAATCTTCCTGATAATTTTATTCGAAACAATCATGAAATACAAATCGCTTCACAGAATTAAGTTTATAAAAAAAAGAAGAAAAGAATCACCTCAAAGGTGCTGCTTCGTTCCCTTCTGTTCATAGAACAGGACATACGCCTCATCACTCACAGGCGATTTTGGTGAAATTGGGGACACGTATGAATCGTTGTATTCATGCCACGTACCACTAAATGGGTGTCTGCAATATGCTGTGCAATGCCAATTGTAATTGTTCATTTCTTTTTATTTTTTCAAATTGTTGCTAACTATTCAACCAAATACTAGTTTTTTGGAAATTTCATTAATTTTTTCTGAACAATGAAGTCCGGATATCTTGAATCGCATCGAGGTATATCATATCCTTTTGATAGGAAATATCTTCTTTTACCTTCACTAAAATATTCGAAATTAACTTCAATTCATATATCTTCGAACTCAGCTTCCATCCTAGAATGAAATTCACGGTATTCTCTAAGAAAACATTCATTTACGTGACGAATAGATATTTGGTTTTTTTTCCTTCTTATATAGTTCTGATATATATTTATTTTCGAATTGTAAAGGATGAATAATGAAGTCTACATGAAGAGTATATCTTATTTGTATTTGACAATTAATTTTTTTTTAATTTACATTTGAGAGGTTTATTTTAATCCATTCTTCCGTACTCTCTTGACCGTGCAACTACTCTATATTCACCCGATTTCGGAGCAAATTTCAGGCGTGGTCAATATTGAGAAACTCACCTGCACCGGTTTTCGTGGCGAATGTACGAAATTGAGGTAAACTGATTTCGAGGAATTGATTATATAAGACCGAAATGATCCTCTTGTAGTTACATCTGAGTCGATTCGCTTAGTGAACAACATGTCTTTGAAGGTATGTATATTTTCAATTCAAGAAAACATATGACTATTTCTATAAGAAATTCCATCTGTGAATTCATATTTTGATTTTTATTTCATTGAGTTTTATTGTTTTCAATTTCCTAGAATGGAAAATGGTTCCGGAATAAAAAAATGATCACTAAATGAGCACAGGAACGCTTCTCCGTCTGAAAGGAATATGGATGAAGAGATATATCCAACTTTTGAATAATACCTTCTATTGAAAGTTTTTCCCATCTATTTCGAAAGCAAATTTGATATTTTAATTCATCATTATACAATCAACCTAGCCCAGTTTTATTTTTTGTTTCTTTCATACTCATCATTGGTATTTCATCAATATCGTCAAAATTCAATATATGTGTAGAATGTAGAATATCAGTTGATCTGAATATTTGTATACACAAATATTTTGTGTTCTTTTTGTAATCAGACTGTGAATTCATAATAGTGTGGTATCCAAAAACGTACTTACAATATCGGACAAATTACTTTCAGTTCTGAAAAAAATAAAGTCGAAGAAATATTTCTGAAAGATCAGGAAAGTGAATTGGTTAAAGTTGTTGCTGTCAGCTTTGGTTTTAACTTCTTTGAACTGACCCATCAACTAATTATTTGTTGAAATTTGGTTTGTTTTTGAAGATTGAATTTTTTAGCGTAACACAATGATATTTCCCAATTAGATTTTATTACAGGTATTGGAGAAGTAGTTCAAATATTTCCATTTGAATTATCAACTAGATTTAGAATTTGTGATGTTATTGCTTCATCTCAATTTCAAAAACGAATTATAATATTGATACACTTTAAAAAAATAATACTTTTTTTTTCCAAAATTAATATCAGGAGTTATTATACATAGTATTTCACAAATTTGTGTTTTGGTTCTGAATATTGAATCAAAAAGAAATTGGAAAGTTGAGCTTAATTCATTATAGACTGAATGAATGAACAAATTTTGATACAATCAGTTTTAAACATATAAAGGGTTATTAGGTGCTAATAATATTTCTCAAACTCCATTTTTTTGATACCTGCATATGCTTCATAGCCGACCGAAATATTTTTCAATATCCGAATACAAATATATTAAAGTATATTATATTATATATATTATATTATAAGTAGAATATATTATAGAAAAGTCTGGAATTCAATATACTGTTATCATATTCATATGGAAAGTAGAAAGCCGAAAATCTTTTTTGTGTTCTCGGATTTTATCCATAGAATAATATTAACGACATTCTCAGATTCGGAAAATGAATAAGGAGATGTCAGCTTGGGGTAATCTTTTTTTGTTTTTTGTTTTTATCAATCTCTACAAATTGTTGTCTTCCATACATATAGTTTTCAAAACAAGTAATGGCTAGAAATGCAGTACCATATATTTAATCTAACTGGAAACTTTGCCGCTTGTGTAGTAGAAATGACAAAGTTATATAATCGTTTGTATGTGAAATTGATGAAAATTTTTTCATTTCTAGATCGTCGTTTTTGCGGCAGCACTATCAGCTGCTCATGCCGGCATTATTGGAGCCCCTCTAGCTACTCCTCTAGCGGCTCCTCTATCTTACGCTGCACCCATAGCTAGAGTTGCCGCTCCATTGGCCTATGCTGCACCAGTAGCTCAAGTAGCTGCTCCTATTGCCAGAGTAGGCGCTCCCGTTGCGGTTGCTGCACCTGTTGCAAAAGCCGTTGTTTCCGAAGAATATGACCCTAACCCACAGTACAGTTACGCATATGATGTTCAGGACAGTTTGACAGGTGACAGCAAGAGCCAGAGTGAAACGAGAAATGGAGATGCAGTTCAAGGTACTGAATAGATATTCAAATTACACTTCTATGTGAGATTTTCACTGGACACTTTGCAAAACAGTTACAACCGTAACACGTGTTTAGCTCAACGATAGCTTTCTCAAGGGTTTATATACATTATACGAATACGTTATGAATTCTCATCAAGTGTCGGCTGATTCAATCACATACTAAATAAATTCAATATTACTTATCATCATGACGGTAATTCTGCAATCTGGGGATCTCCATACCCTTCGCATCCTAACCGTTTCATATCCATTTTTCATGAACTTCATTCAGTTTGCAATGAATATGTATATGTATGTCTGTATATTAGTTTTGGTCAAATTTTGCGAGTGGGTAAAATTTGGCAAAAATGTTCATTTTGGATGACAATGCTTGGTTAGCTAATATATAACCAATCGTGAAAGATGACGGACTATGTATTTTCATGCACCCCCACACAACGGGTATCGAATGAAAGAAAGAAAACTGAGATGGTCTCAATCTGAATACAATAAGGCGGACTCCCAATGACGGTGGTCTATATTTTTTTGCAACTCCGTGATATTGATATCAAGGTTCGAAGTGTCAAGATGATGGAAAACAAGAAATCCGCCATTCCAAATTCAAAGAGTTATCAGTCGTCAAAACTTAAGAATAGTTTGATGCTGCTCAAAAAATTTTTGTAGGGATCGACCGTGCAACGATGATTCATTGAAAAAAATGAACAGACTGGAGAACATATATAGCGTAAGATATAAACTCATGGAAAATAATGAACGATTTTGTTATTGAAACAACTTGATATTGAAGAAATACATTATTGAAAACAAGCTTTTATTACCATTCTCCAAATGGGATATTTCATGGAATCAAATCCATCCATTTATTATATTGCACAATTTATATGTCGTTTGTAGCGAGAATGCAATCGGTATGTTTTTTGATTTGAACATAAGTGGTTCCAAAGAAATATTACTTTTCGATAAGTAAACATTGCGACAATCTTTTATATCACAGAATTTATGTAATGTAATACTTTCATAGGTTTGATTAGGGCATACAAATGAAAAATAGTTTCGAAAATGTTTTTACTATTGGTTTATTTCCATAATCGTTTATTATTATTCCGTAGCTGATATTCTATTGGTCGAGGCTAGACTACTAGCTTCAAATATACTTGATATCGGGAAAACAAAAGTTCTTGGTTATCTACCACTCCATCTTCATACAGAAAAAATTTGGGAATCTCCCAAAGAAAGAAAGAAAGCAATCAATTTCAGAGGAAGTAACTCTATACATAGATACATGCAAAGAAGTAACTTTCAGACACAAACTGAAAGAAAAAGCCCTCCTGAAACATCTACTTTCGTATTGAATCACATGAAACAAATATTCTTTCGAAACGAATACTTTTTTATGGGCACTGAATTATACATCCACTATGGAATTGAGTCTGATATCATCCACAAGATTCCTACGCAATATACTAAATGGAACGTATACCTTTTACTTACATGGAACACTGTCATCCCCACTGGTAGACATCGATGTTTCGCCGTAGGACACTTGACTCAGGGCTCGTCAGTACCAATATGGACAACATTATAAAGAATAACACACAATTCATTCATAAATCACGAAAGACACGCCTGAAGAAGCAGAGTATTGTAATAGCAAACACGTGTAAAACTGTTTAGTGAAAATCCCACAATAAAGTGTTTCTTGAATATAATGTAATGTATGAATAGTTTGGGAATGATAAAATCAATCAAATCCTTTACATGCTGTTCTTGAATTTGAAGTGTTATGAATTCATTGAATGACTTGTGTAATAATTCTTTATTAATCTGAAATCACTCAATGAGGAAAGTTGAAATCATCATATCATAATCTCCAGCTCAGTTTGAGCTTCAGTTTCAAAATTCCAGAAAGATTCTTGGAATCTTTCGGTGTTAACATTTTCTTGAAATCAGTTTTTGGAAACAAAATCAGTTTTCCAAATTACCGCTTCCACATTCTTCATAGATTTCGAATCATTTTTATGAATTCATAATCAGATTCATACAAAATCGAAGCCCATATTCGAATTCAAAACAGATATAAGGTGACTACTTTGAATATTTTAGAGTTTATCAAAGGAAAGAAATGTAATTTTAATAAGTCACTGATTTTTAAGAAGAAAAATTCTCGCATAATCATAACTTTCAGTACTTTCCTCAAATACATATATGTTGTTCCTCAGGATCCTACTCCTTGACCGACCCAGATGGTACACGCAGAACCGTCGATTACACCGCCGATCCCGTCAACGGATTCAATGCCGTAGTTCGTAAAGAGCCACTCGTCGCTAAGGCAGTAGTAGCCGCCCCCGCTATCGCAAAAGTAGTTTCACCAATCACTCACGCCGCACCTGCACCACTTGCCTATGCTGCACCAATTGCCAAAACTGCCTCACCAGTAGCCTATGCTGCCCCAGCAGCACCAGCCTTAGCTCATCTTGCTGCCCCACTAGCTTATTCTTCCTCAATAATTCATTGATCAAGCCGCAAATTCTGCTCAAAATCAAACATTCATTTCTGTGAAATTCTACGTTGAGTTGTAAAATATTTATTTTTCATTATTTGGTGGAGTCTAATGAATAAATTCCGACAAATTATGTCTCTTCAAACGTTGACATTTCTTCAAGGGTTATTTTTTCTCTAATCTTTAGATGTGGATTTATAAGTAAATTTTAATCAGAGGGTTTCGAATTGGATCAAGTATTCACGTAACAAAATATTTTTCCAATTTATATCCACACATTTTTCGGTTTTTTACTTATGACAGATAAGTGGGTATGAAGATGCATAAAAAAAGACAACTTCATCGAGAGTGAAATTTAGGCAGCAATTTTTGTGATTTCAAAAATCAAGTTTTTTAAACAGAAAAATAATTTTTGCTATAAGTATTCAAATTCCTTCTATGTCGTCAGCAATGCTTTTTTTGGATCTTCTGTTATGATATAAAAATGCAACTTCCAACTTTCATTGTTCAAAAAGGTGTTGATTTATGAATGCAAAATGAAATTGAAATGAATGAAACATCAAAAGTATTCCAAATACTTAAGAATAACTGGATAGATATATTCGGATGAGTTAGTCGTGAAAGGAATAATATCAAATATTCATTAGAAAATAAAAAAAATGAATATGGGATTCAAAAAAACAAGAACGTCAATCAATAAACGAAAATAATTTTTGTAGTATGGAATGATCTCAATTTACGAATCGATTAATTACAATATTAACTGAACAACAATCGGATAGATTTTCTTCTGAAATGGAAACAAATTCATTAAAATAACGAAAAACGAAAAATAGAATGGATTATTGGCTCTTAGTCTTTCTAGTTTATTGAATTTCGTTACGACGTAGCGTCCATTCTACGTTAAATTTTTTTTCCAGGAATATACCCCACTGAGAAATTTCGACGCATTCGATACTCTTACTTACACTTACTACATTCAAGTCTGGTCCATTCAAATTCATAACAGATCTTGAAATCAATCAAACCTTCAATTCGATACTTGAGGGGCCGTTTAAGTATAACGTAAACATATTTATTAATTTTATTTACCCCCCATCCCCCATGTCAGCAAAACAAAGCAAAGCTCGTAGATTCAAAAAATTACCCCCTCACACTAGTGGGTCATATTTTCTTTATAGTTATAGACCTACACTAGATTATTCATTATTTTTCTGTTGGAGCTAGGTAGGTAGATAGGTCGAAAGTGAGTGAATTTATTCAACTCACCACTGTTACCCGCTGGGGTTTACTGTGGCTCACACCTTTTCGAACTCAACCAAATAAAGGCAACTTTCTATCGAAGGCGATTAATTTATTCGTTGAGTGACCTTTCAGATCAGTTGGCAGTATTGAGACTCTGCATAATACTGAAACTTGATCTGGTTTGCGTCGTGGCAGGCATAGAGTTTGTGCTGGATTTCTTTATATAAAATAAGGAGGTCCTTGACCGCCTAGCCTCCTGGATATGTTCAAACATTGGACAACTAGGGAGCTCCAGCTTTCGATCCGAAACTACACGGAGGATTTGTTGGCGTTGTTTGACCGACCTCCATCTCTTCTGTAAGGTCAGCACGGAAGTGAGGTATGTCTCTTGATCCTTTGTAACAGTAAGGACAGTTGGGGTCGTTAAGTGAACTTCCATCTCTTCTGTAGCCTCAGGTTCAAGGTTTTTGTTACATGAGGGGTCCCACGAGTAGCTAAAGAGAGAAGATCTCGTAGGTTCCGTTTGTGATATTGAGTGGACTCTAAGAGCGCCCTAAGGATTTTCCTGTAGTGCTTGGGTTTTGTCCTTAAGAAACAGCATTTTGGTACTGATACACACTTCAGAAAGAGGCGTCTTTTAGAAGACTCTCTTCACCACGGGTGGCACCTCACCCTCAGAAATAATGAAACGTTGAAGGTTATAATGAATAGAAATTTGTTTGCCCAGTATCCCCTATAAAAATTTCAGAAGACATTTTTCTTGCGATAGGGTAGTATTGACATACTGGAATGAAAAACAATTATCCAGTAATTATCCAGTAAAAATAAAATGGCGCTCCGGGGTGACTTCATTGATTCCAGTGGCGCATTTGCTTTTTCAGCTGCAGGAAAACCCGGAAAAACCTGCAGCACCACATCATCTGAGGCTCTTGATCTGCCAATATCCTCTCTGATGAAACAAAATGTAGGGTGTCTCCAGAGGTTCCAATAAATTCAGTACATCGCCAGAACTCTTCGTGACACGACTATCGTCAAACTCAAATCAGTCCGTTCCGTCTTTGACCAAGGCGTAATAATGACCAAATCCAACACCAGAACCACAGTGAACAATGACTGCATGAATATTATAATAGTGGTCTGTTAGTTAAAAAAAAAACTAATCAATACAGTTTATTGTATGATTTTCACTATAGAAATTTTCACCAAAGTGTTTTTCACTATAGTGAAAATCATACAATAAACTGTATCGATTAGTTTTTTAATATGGATTTTCATCAAGTATCGGCCAGTTCTATTCAATTACTGCTAGATTGAAGTGTTTATCTATTTCGAACCTTCGTAAGAGTTTGGTGCCTACCTTGAAGGTGGATTCATGTTTAAAGATCATCAGTGTTATCATTAGATTGACTGGTGCCTCAGATATACTTCTTTCCTTATAACAGTCAGTTAGTTTGGGGCATGTTTGGCAATATAGTCGATCTTAACAATAAGCTTTGCACGGACTGGTTAGTCATATTAGGAAACGCTAATTGAAGCAAAAAAAATTCTGAAGTTTTGTTCCTAAACAATCATTTGTATGTCATGTCTTTCACAATTTTGATAGCGCTCTCGGCGAATCCGTTTGTGGATATGATAAGGCGCTTCCGTTATGTATTTTTTCTAGTAAAATGCAAAGAATCGTGAAATACGTCAGAAATGATTTTTTTCGCATTATCCGTAGATAACTTGAACTGAAGTTTTAATCTACTATGAAACGTCCTTATCGTTGATACCGCGGCCATACTATCCAATTTCCCTCACCCAATCCATTTGGAAGTGGCGCCTTTAATTACTACAAAATTTTTCGAAAACAGGGTAAAAAAATCAGCTGCAGTTCTGCTGGGGTAATTTCCAAACAATCCAGCCAGATCTATATGACTACTTTTTGATGTTATACAAGAATGCGCTGCAGGTTTCCTGTTTATTACACTCACGTTTGTACTGTACAGTTCAGTTGATTCAGTTGAAATAGAATTTTCCAGCATAGCTGGTATCACCACTTCGAACATTTCCTAGCCTCGCATTGATTGAAAAATTCAAGTTAAGAAATTTGTTTAAAATCTTTGTTTGAAGGTGGTTGACAATCTTTCATGGTGTATTTCATCAGTTCGGACTTCCATTGTCTAATATAATATAAATTGATCTGATAACCCTGAAAAAAATCAAAAAGATTAACCGGAAATAACAATTTTATTAAACAAAAAACTGAAATATCTGCTATTCCGGATTTGCTGGCAGAGCACTACAGAATTTGTGCCCATATTTTCAGGCGCAAAAATTACTAATGGATTATGTTCTGTGTATGTACTATTTATCATATAGCTATAAGAAAATGATGCTACACTTTTTTTACTTGTGAATAGAAATTTGGTAATAAATATGTGATATTGACGCACTTAGAGAAAATTGGAAGGCGTCAGCAGTTATTTTTTTTTTTCATTATCTGAGTCAACGTGGTAGGTACGGTGAAGAAACCAACTTTCTCGAAATGTTTGCGCAAATCGCATTCCTTCTTAAAAATTTTTTGAAAAGTTGTACAACGGCTTCAAATAGTTCTTGCGTTGAGAAGAAGAAATCTCAACGTTCGTGAAAGACAGGATTTCAATTCCGTATTCGCTTTTGGAATTGCTGAAAAATTCTCTAAACACACTTCTATCAGCAATGGAAAACTTTTTCAAGTGGTTCTAAATGTTCTTCGTAATTTTTGCCTGTCACCAAAATGTGTAATTATGAAGTCACTACAAATCCCTTCACCTCCTCCGTGTTTTAAAACGGGACAGGAATAGATTGATTATATTCTGGATGCAAGAACATTCAAGTACCACGGGCAATGAAAGACCTCACAAGCGTACCAGACACGGATCCCTAACTCCATTCATAGGCCCTGAACCAGCTGTATGGGTGCCAAAATCTTTGGTACGGAACCAGAATGCGAAATGGATCTTCAGAAAATATAAGAAACACTAGAAGAACACACACGAAAAACTTTCACAAAGGGACCATCCGAAAGAGAAAAGAAGGAATTTCAATAAAATCAAACTCAATTTGTATTCTTTGTTTGAATTGTGGGGGAAAATATGTTGGCTGAAATCACGAATCGCTTTACATAAATGTGATCGTCGACTCCAAAGAGAACGTTGGACACTTACTTATAATATTTTACAAATACAACATAGTATTGATTTTGAAAATACAAAAATCCTAGACGTTGAAGAGAATTATAAAAAAAATCTGATCATCAATAAAATATATTTCAATAATTTTATCAAAACTGTGATCATCTACTGTCAATGTCAGTTTCTTGAAAAAATGTTCGAACGTTACCACGTTGAAGATGTACGAGGGTTATTGAAAAATTCATTGAATACTATGTATAAAAGCAAACAAAATGTGAGAGTCAAAATATTTTATATTCAACATACTCTTCTTTCAATTGGATGCATTGATGACAAGGAACGCATAATGCAAGTAAAGCTCAGAAAATGTGTATCTCGCTCTACAAACACGGTCTATTTAATTTCTATTACTTCATTGTTGAAAAAAAAAACGACTATCAGGAGTTTTTTCAGTTGAGAAAAGGAAAAGTAGTTGGACAAATTGAGATCTGGTGAATAACCGGAGTATTCAAATAATTCAAACCCTGATTCACAAATTTTCGTGTTTTCTCCTATAATTTATACCGAACAGAATTCAGTAACATCGAATAGTATTTTCAAGTTATTGTTTTATTCTTTCATAAATGATCTATCGTTTTTATTTCTCAGCACTGCCAAAACTGAAGCAAAAAATTTTACGTCAGCTTGAACCAGAAATTTTCAGGCCTTAGACCAGACTGTCGCTCTTCAATAAAT